GCTCCGGGGTGTATTAGCTTTTCTCACATCATGGAGAGATGTATGAATCCGCTGTCCTCACATCGTGGTGTGAGTGTCTCACCGTGATGATTGTGCATCTGACCCCCAAAGAAACAATTACACACCATGGCCCTTAAACCAAGTCAGCCCTGAAGACAAGGCACGACACTGCACGTTATGGATACTAGGCACTAGAGCATCGTGGTTCAGAACACAGTGTCTGGAGCCAGGCTGTTTAGTTTCAACTCGCACAACTACCACTTAATAATGATAGGACAGCAGCCAAATGACTCAGTCTCTGTCTAACACAGTTTTCTCATCTGTAAAAGGGGGATGATAATTGGACTTCCTCATAGAATTGTCCTGAGGATTGAATGCCCTTTATATAAAGTACTTGGCACATGGTAACTATTATATGTGTATGATTGTAATTGCTATTATTTGAGGAGTTTTCAAGGGTAATTTAGACCATACACATTTTTTTTGCCTTGAGCATTGACTATGGGACCTAACCCTCAAGAAGGGTACAGCTTCACTGAATCTATAAGATCATTCCACATCATTTTAGATCATCATTAAAGCAGGTCTTCCATGGACCTAAGATAGCAAGCTGTCAACCCTATTCACATAACTGCCTTTGACTGTTTCTGTACATTCTATAAATGGACATAGGATATACCCATATTTAGTACAACTCTATTTATTTTTAAAAAGTCCTGTAAACCTGACTTTACTTTAATTCCTCCTTCCTGTCCACCTCCAGTGTCATTGAAAATAATGGGAGGATTTGCTCCACATGACTCAGCATAAACGCTAGTTGAGAAGTTGTGGCTCACTAGGTGGCTGGAAGTCTCTGTGCCAATCAGCTGCAGCAGCATATGGAGAGAGGAGGCAACCTGAAAGGGTATAAAGCATCAAATTCAAAACAATGTCTCTGGACTTGGAGACCCTGAGTTCAAATCTAAGATCTGACCTGTATCTAACTTGTGGCTTTGGATATGGTAATTAATCTCTGCAGATTAATTTACTTATCTGGAAAATGTCAGGGTCAGGGGTGTGATAATGGCATATGTTTCATAAGATTTATTGAGATAATGAGTGGATATCCTCTACACAATATAGCTGACTCATAAATGCTGTTATTATGAAAACACCTACACCTACCTCCTAATGTGAAAATCCTAATTCTCTCATATTTATTTGGTATTGTTGGCTGCGCTAAATAAAACTCAGAGTTGAGAATTATTCCCTCAGTAGTTTGGGAGACTCTTATCTTAAAGAAGACCCTTCTCCTGGACACGTCCCTCCTGCCCACAAGGAACATTCAAAATGGGTATTTTTCCATAATTTTTGCACATCTAAGAATCTCCTCTAGAATTGTAGAAGTCCTTGGGTTAAGGTCAAGTTGACTGAGAAGCTTTGTTAAGAGCATATCTGAACACTGGCCTCTGCCAGCCATTCTTTTAGAAAAAGCTATTTACGAGTGAACTGAGAAGTTAACACATTCTAAGTTGATGTCAGTGTGTTCATCGCCCAAGAGAAATAAGCAGCACTTGCAGATGATCTCAGAGGCTCTGAAATGTTTCTCCCTGATCCTCTCCGTCTGTCAAAATTTCACTCATTTCTTAAAACCCAACTCAAAAGCCACCTCTTTGTGCAATTATCCCTGATCATTTTCAGCCTAAACTGGCCACTTCCTCCTGTGAACCTTTCCTTTGCACGTCTTTGACTAATCTTCCATGAACATCTCCCACACGCTTCATAGGACAAAAGTTATACCTCTGTTTTTCTTATCTTACCTGCAAGGAGGAAGTAGACCAGTTGTTAAAAGTGCATGTGTTCTTTTTAGAGATCTGAATTTAAATCCCAGCATCTTTACCTGTTTGCCGAGTGATGTTGAAAAATCTAGAGCTTAAGCTTTTGGCAGGCAGGTGACAGGACTTGGACAGAGGTGGCCAAAACTCGCCTGATGAATACTAAGTGAAAGGGTACCTGTGTGAGCTCACAGTGTTTAGCTTAAGTAGGAACTGACTGTGGGTGGTGCTTCCACAGAAACCTTGGCAAATGCTATTTCATTAATTCCTGGAAACAATAGATGAGGCTTGGGCTCTGATTTCTTAGCTATTGTCCTGGGTTCCCTTGAACATCAAGGAGCTGAACCAAGATCTTCAGAATTGGTAGATCTGGGTTCCTATCTCATCTCTCAACGTTATCATTTACTCTGAGATCTAGATCGTGTAAATCACCTCTTTAATTCTTGGTTTACTTATATGTAAAGAATAATAATAGGAATACCTTCCCCATAAGATCCTTACGAATGTTCTGTAAAATGCCACAGAGCGTATAAAGAGGTATTCTGGAAAAAACAAAACAAACAAAAAACTGGCATGGCCAATGTGTTTGGGAATCTCTGGTTTAAACAGAATTAAACAGATTTATTTAAGGTTGAACTTTATAAGACT